TTCTCAGAACTTCAGTGTACTCATCTACAAAATGGGATAACCACGCTTCTCAGGGGAAAGTGAGGGTTCATCATGGGTTGGTGTTCACTCCTGCTCACAGGGGATGGATCTCACTGATGCTCATCATCACAGCCAGAGATGGAAAGTAGAAAATGAAAAGACAGGACCCACCAGGTACTCCAATCTCTATGAGGAGGCAGAACATTCACTGGGCACCTACAGTGTTGTCAGGCTCTTTGCAAGCATCAGTTCTTTTAACCCCCACAACAATCCTGCAAAGTCAGTGTTATCATAACTGTTTCACAGTGAAAAACTGAAGCTCAGAAGAGTGAAGCAGCATGTCCAAGGTCACACAGACATCTGGGCTCAAAGCCTCAGGTGTGAGGGCGAACAGAACACCTTCTTTCCCCTCCCTCAGTGTAAACAGATTGGGAGGCTGGACTGGAGCCAGGCCTCACTGGCCCCCTGAAGGTCCTGTTTCAAACCTAGATGCTGGGAATACAAAACATCAAGCAGGTCCCACTGCTTTATCTCTTTCCCACAGCTTAGAGTTTCCTAGCAGGCGGCACACAGGCACCTTCCCAGGGCAGCAGCTGGTGATCTGGCCCCCTCCTTCACCAAGTCAAGTCTTGTCTGAGGCCCTAGAACACCCACAGGGCTAACAAACCAGATTTTCCTTTGAAGCTGGAGGAAGAGGAGGAGGAGAGAAAATGAAGGACATGTGGCCCCGAGTCATAGACCGGGGCCCCACACGTGCAGTAGCCTCTTTCCAGATGGGCCACCCAGGGACCACTCCACGTCCAGCTCTAGGCTCTCCTGGGAACTGTAACAGCTCAAGAAAAGAGGATGTCCTGAACTTACAAACTAGAGAAGGTGGTGGAAAAGCAGGGAGGCAGGACCTAGCCTGTCAGGAGGGCCCTGGCCCAACAGTAAGTGGCAGAGACCAAACTAGGGATGTCAACAGAGCCAGTTACATGACTTCCAAAGTCACAGTTGACTAGGAATAGTGGAGGGCCCAGGGGACAAGGGAACTGAGTCAGCAAAAGACAAACTGCTGTTCCAGATATTTCTCCCTGGGCCCAGTTCAGATCAATTTCTCCCCTAACAGGAAGCCAACACCCACGGGATCCCAGACAGCACAACTCCTCACCTCATCTGGCCTGCAGCACTGAGCACCGAAGCTGGGTGGGAAACTCCAGTTTCGAGGCCAGTCTTGGCAATCACATAGGAAAAGGAGGGGGAGGGCAGGGACCCGCCCCCCTCAGGCCATCTTCCTCAGGCCAGAGACCTGGTATCCACTGGTATCCTTCTGTCCTTTCTTGACCAACTCCAAAGGGACACCCTCCCCACAAGCAGGTCTGCTCCTCCTGTTCCCAAAGTCCTCTGGCCACCCGTCCCTGAGGAAGACCCTTCTTTCTTCTCCTCCGGTCCATTTTGGGCTCCAACAGCTAGCTCAGCTGCGAGCCAAGCTGAAGGAGCCAATGCTATCAGCACTTGGTCTGCACTCACACCACCATAGGGCCCTTCACTGGCTGGCTGCTTTCTTGCCTTTTCCCACCACTGGCTACTGCTCCATAGCAGGCAGGAACCAACTCAGGCCCCACAAAGGTTCCCTGAAGAGCAGACTCAAAAGATAGACAAGGTGAAGTAAAGAGAGCCTAGGGCTGGGAATCAGGAGTTCTGGGTTTACTTCCTGGCTTTGCTCCCTACTGACTGAACAGGTGAGGTTAATCATTTCCTTCAGGCCTCAGTTTACCTATCCATAGGAAGATGGCCATCTCTAAGGTGGCTTTCACCTTCCTGACTTGAAATGTGTGTCAAAAAATGTTAACCAATCATTTACTTCTCTGCAGGCCTGAGAACAAAGTGAATAAGCCTGGTCCCAGGGAATTCCCTGGTGGTCCAGTGGTTAGGACTCTGGGCTTTCACTGCCAAACTGCCAAGGGTCTGTGTTCAATCCCTGGTCAATCCCAACTCAAGATCCCACAAGCTGCAGCCAAATAAAAAAGGCCTGGTCCGAGTTCTGAAGCTCATCAGTCTAATGAAGTGTAACAAAGTGGTAATGACAACAGTCTTATCCTTGCTGGACCATCCCTGTGGATCTCCCACACTGCTGAGGGAGTCAAAAGTACTGAGTTAAGCCAGGGAAGGTAAGGGCACACAGGTTCCTGTTAGGGATCTTGAGTTCTGTCCAGGACTCAGTTTACTGCTGGGGCCACCAGGCCATATTAATGGGTGGTAAAGGCAATGGAAACTGTCCTGACTTGGGAGTCAGAAACTCTGGTTTCAAGACCTGGTTCTGCCACTAGTGTACTGTGTGAGCTGAAGCAAGTTCTTCTCTTCTCTGTGACCTCAGTTTCCTCATCGTATAAGAAGTTAGGGTTACACTGGTCAAATTCTTAAGATCCCTTCTATGGGAGGAATATAAGTCTATGATTTTATGATCTACTCACAACAGGCACCAAGCAGTCACCTGAGGAGGTAGCTTCTGATCTACTTTCCTCCCCTACCCCACTAGCCCCTGGCAATTGCCAAAACTGTCTTAAGACAACCTTTGGCCCAGGATGGCTGAGACAGACCTTTAATCCGGAGCCAGAGTCCTAGCCATCTCCACTGCAGCCATCAGGGCTAATGTTTCACTTCTCTGGGCTAGCACATGGACTCTTAGCCTTCAACCACGAGACTGGGTTCAGGGCGGTCACTCTGAAACTTCCCATAACTTCCTCTCTTATGGCCTTGGGCAGGGACTTACTTTTGGCTATTTTTTTTGAACCACAATATTGACTCTACAGGGACCATCCAAGTTCTCAGACACCAGAGATTTTAGGGTGGCCAAGAGGGTTAAGAAAGTGAAGCAGAGAGAGGAAGAGACCTGGAATCCCACCTCAGCCCCAGCCCTATAGACACCAATGATGCAGAGGGCGTCTGCAAAGCCTGGGTTTGCGGTTGGAGGGTGGGAAAGACAGATGTCTGGCTGCTTGGTTGGGGACTACAGCCAAAGGGAGGTGCTCCCACTGGGGCCTCTCTCTGTTCACAAATACCAGAGGTATGCCCTCATTTTCTCCTCAATTTTCAGACCCTTAGAAGGCAAAGAAAGGAAACTAACATTTTCCTAGGCCACTACTTGCGCCAGGCACTGTGCTAGGCACCTTTGAATACTTAATCTCTATAGTAATCTTGGGAATAGGTGTTACTGTTGCCCTTTACAGTGAGTAAACAGGCTCAGAGATTCAAGCTCTTGCCCAAGGTCACACAGCCAGGAAGTGTTGTTTCTTCCTAAATCTGGCCTTTTCCCACTATTTCACACTGCTTTGTACCCTGAGATCTAGTTAACTTCCTGATAAGCTTGTAGTAGGATTCTTTTTTTAAGTAGGAGTTTTTATCTCCCAGAATTCACCAGCAAATCTGAACTCTTCCTTCCAAGCACCCACAAATGCAACTGGTAACTCCTTTCCCACTTTTCTAGACCTTATCCCTCCCAGGACCCTAATCTGGTATTTGCTCTTCAATTCAAAAATATACCCTAAGTCCTCTTTGGGGTCTCACAAGCTATTCCCTGGGGAACTGACAAAGCTTCAAGTCAGAGTGAAGGATCAAAATAAGGGGTGTTCTCTGAGTTCAGGACTGGACTAGGCTTGGCTAAGTCTGAGCAAGTGGGAAGAGGCTGGAGGAGACAGATCCAGTGGGTAAAAGAGAACTCTCCTTAGGGGAGGGGCCTGCATTTCTCTCCAACTTTCCAAAGAAGGAGGCCTGGTGAATATGAGGCTTTGGGACTGTGGAAAATCCCAGAAGTGAACTTTATGGGGTTGCTTGTGTGGGGTGGGGATCTTACAGATGGTCAAGTCTCTTCCATAAGTCATAAGAGAGGCTGAAAAAGCCTTAGACGATCACAGCTGGTCAGAGAAGGGGAGGAAGGACCCTCTAGAATAGGGTCATGGCTGAGTCCTGTAGGCTTTCCCAGGTGATTGTGTGGCGCTCTCTATTGAAGGGGAGGTACATCTCAAGGGAGGCTTGTAAGTTCTGTGCAGAACACTGGTCTCAAGTGACAGGACAGCTGGGATGTGAGTGGGCTCTGGAGTCCATCTTTCCTAGAGGGATCACCAACCCATACACATGATCCCTGTGAGGACTTGGGGCAGAATGTGGCTGCTGAGCTCACCCCGCTTGGAGGGAAGGTGCTGCTCCACTGTCTCACATTGCTCTGCCTGCCAGCTGGGGGCCCCGGGGTGGGGGGATCTAGGTGTGCTACGAGTGGGGACCCTGCTGTCTCCTTGCCTGCCCCCTAGTCTGCGTTTGGAGAGGAAGCGCCGACAGTCTGTCCTGGAGGTGAGGTACCGTCCCCCTGTGGGTACTGGGAAGGGGCAGTGCCTGCCCACCTGTTGCTGGTGACAGGGAGAAACCTACCTCTGAGGGGGAGGGGGGCACTCTCTGTCCCTTCCATGAGGGGAAGTGACTGTCTATCCCAAGGTGGGAGGGAGGTGACCAATGTCAGTCTATCTAGAGGTCCCTGTACCTTGAGATGAGGGTCAGTCTGTGCCCGAGCGCAGTGGGGGCAGGGCAGCCCGTCCCTCTGAAGCCTAAGGTGTCCCCCTGATGTGGCGGTGGCGGGTGCTGAGACAAGGAAGTCAGTGGGTCTTGTAGGGGGCGAGATACGGAGAATACCGCGCTGTTGGGGGAGGGGAGACCACCTGTGAGCCTGTCGGGAGTTGGCCGAGCCAACCAGCCCTAAGGCGAGGGTGGCAGCGCTGGGGTTGGAAAAGGTAACAGTCGACCTGTGAGCTCAGGTGAGGAGAGCACTCGAGGCCCTTCCTAGGGGCGGGTCAGTCCGCCGGGGGGGGGGGGGAGGTGCGGGTGGGGCAAAGGAGATAAGAGATTGTTGTTCCCGGTTGGAAGGGAGACGTGTCTGTCCTTCCAGAGAGCGGCTCTGTCAGCGTCGAGGCACCGCCCCGGGTCCTACCCCGGCCCCTGATCCCCTGGCTCCGAGCCCCGGCGATACTCACGCGCCTTCTGCGCCCTGCGAGCCCACGATGAAGCCGAACTTGTCGATGCGGCGCTCGGCGAAGCCGTTGGTCTCTGAGTCGGAGCCCAGAGAACTAAGCTCGTCGGTGGCTGCGGCGTCGGGGCCCGGGGCCAAGCTCTCCCGGGTCCCCGACAGGCTCCCCTCAGCTGCGGGCGCGCGCGGCCCGTTCTCTTCGAGGCTCTTCGCCATCCTGGCCGCGCCCGCCGCCTCAGCTTCAGCGGCCACCTCAGCCGCCTCAGCCGCCCGACCTCCGCCGACGCCGCCGACGCCCCGCCCACGCGCCGCGCCCATTGGTCGCCGCAAAGCCGGGGGCGGGGCCCTGGGACTTCCCCGGCGCTTCCTCCCCGCAATGCCCAATGGGTGCCTCGGACCCCAGGGCCCGCCCACCTCCCCCAGGCTGGCGCCAACAGGCCCGACGTGAGGGGGCGGGGCAGCCGTCACCCGAATCCCTCCCCCCGAGCTGCCAATCACAGAGAGCTCACCTGAAAGAGCTTTAGGGCTTTTCCGGATTAGCCTCTGCCTGGCGTATACCTGCAGCACCGCGCAGGCAGAGACCGAGGGCGCCCTCTGGGAACACTCGCCCTCTCCTCGCGATACCTTAAAGACGTGGGTGAGGATTGTTCTCCCATTCATTTATGAGTAGCTCTGAGGAGATGGGTTCGGGGACTCGCCCAGGGACATGGCAGCTGGAAGAGGTAGGCTGAGATAGAAACTCAGCAGCCTTTTCCTTCCCCTGCTCACTGCTTCTGGGGCCTATTAGGGAGACCTAATAAGAATAATGGCCAACGACTATTGAGCCACTCACTGCCCTGAACGAATTCTACCTACTTTCTCTTATCTTTCCAAGAGCCTTATTGAGATACCATAAAAATCGCCCATTTAAAGTATATAATTGTGTTTTAAGAATATTTGTATTGTTGTGCAGCCATCACTGTAACCTAATTTTAGAACGTTTTCATCACTCCAAAAAGAAATTCATTCCTATCCTCACCAGTCACTCCCCATCCTTCCTCTCCCAGTCCCTGGCAACCACTAATCTGTCTCCATAGTTTTGCTTTTTCTGGTCATTTCATATAAATGGAATCATACAGTATGTGGCCTCGTGTCTGGTTTCTTTCACCTCAGATGTTTTCAAGGTTCATCCATTTTCATTTCTCTTGGGTAGATAGCTAGGAGAGGGAATTGCTGGGTCTTTAACCTTTTGAGGAACTGGCAAGCTGTTTTCCAAACTGGTCACACCATCTCTTGCAATCTTTTAGCAAGGAGGTAGATACTATTTTTAGGTTTCGCTGGTGACTCAGTGGTAAAGAATTTACCTGCTAATGCAGGAGACTCAAGTTCAATCCCTGGGTCTCGAAAATTCCCTGGAGAAGTAAATGGTAACCCGCTCCAGTATTCCTGTCTGCGAAAGTCCATGGACGGGCTACAGTCCATGGTATCACAAACGAGTCCAACATGACTTAGCGACTAAACAACAGAGACTATTTAGTCTCATTTTACAATTAAAGAAACTGAGGTGCAGGGAAGTGATGTCAGCTGCCTGAAGTCTCAGAACCAGCTTGTGGCAGAGCCAAGATTTGAATCTAGCAACAGCATTCTTGGCAACAGGTATTCTTGCCTGGAGAATCCCATGGACAGAGGAGCCTGGCAGGCCAGAGTCCATGGGGTCTCAGGGCCGGACACGACTGAGTGTCTACCACTACTACCACTACTACTTACCAACAGCTTCTATTGGGAAGCACAGGCTAATAGTATTTATATAGACTTAGCTCCCAGCAGCCAACTTCTGACCCAGGGATTATCAACTCGTAGAATTGTAATGGTAACTCCTCACCTCAGTCCAGTACTTCATGGCTCATAAGTCACAACCATATTGTCATTTGACACTCCCCTGCAGACCTATTGGGAGACAGGCTTAGAGAGAAGGGACCAGAAGACCCAAGCCTGAGCTGCAGAGCCTGGGACAGGCTGCTAAGGGGTCCAAAGCAGCCCCAAGAAGGGCAGTCTTAAGCCATGAGTGACTTCACCAGCCGTTTCCTTAATGCCTTGTGGCTCAGACCTCCTTGAAGACTTCACTGTGCAGTCTTGACATTCCATAGGCTTCTGATTTTCCATAAACAGGGCAATAACAGACACAGGGGTGAGCATGTGCTATTTGGTCTTAAATTCTCAGTCTGGGAGGATGTGTTCCACCTCTCTAGCAGTTCCAGAGTGGTGGGCTCTTAGTCCCAGCTCCAAGGAAGGGCAGAGTACACCTGGCCAGAGGATGAGGGTGTCCTCTTCCTATCCCAAGGAAGGAAGAGAGAGTCACATGCCTGGATCAGATGTGAAGCCCAGGTCTGGCAAAGTATCCACAGCCCTTTGACTGCAATTCTGGTTCTACACGCATATCCCAAACACGTTCAGCTCTATGAGGCACCTGTACAGTGATGTTCACTCCAGGGGTATTTGGGGTGGGGGTGGGCAGGTTAGAAGCATCCAGTGTCCTTCCTTAGGAGACTGGATAGATGTTTATCTCAAGTTAAGGCCTTGAGGCTCCAGCTTCTAATTTTCTTACATAAGACCATCCAGGGGGAGTTCCCTGGTGTTCCAGTGGTTATGATGGCACTTTCACTGCTGAGGGCATGGGCTCTGTCCCTGGACAGGGAACTGGGATCCCACAAGCCACATGGGATGGCAAAAAAAAAAAAAAGAAGACCACCCTTGGTTTGAATCTCTGCTGTCACTGTGTGACCTTGAGCAAATCACTTCTCTCTGAGCCCATGTCCTTACCTGTAAAATGTAAATAAATGAAAAAATGTCTCCTTGGAGTTGTTGCCTTGAGATTTTTAGTATGATAGTATGTGGTAAGCATCTGGCACATGGAAATACCCAGTCAATGGGAGCCAGGAGTGGCAGCATCTGTAGTTTGCCAAACACTTGCAAATTCATTATTATCTTGAGTGTCTCCCACCATAATCTGTGGCTGTAGCAGGGGAGTTTTCCTAATTTTTGGCTTGGGAGACTTCACTTCATGGCTGTGCCCCTCAGTAACTGGATGTTCTCATGCAAAATTGCTTAGCTTGGGACTTGGCTGGCGGTCCAATGGTTAAGACTGAAATTCCACTGCAGGGGGTGGGTGGGTTCAATCCCTGGTCAGGGAACTAAAATCCCACATGCCCTGTGTTGTGGTCAGAATTTAAAAAAAAAAAAAATTGCTTAGCTTCTCAGATCCTGTTTTCCTCTTCTAAAAAATAGGAATGTCAGTAACTACTTGGTGAAGAGTTGGTGGACCATCTCTGAAGCCTTCAGCATACAGTAGGTACTAGATAAATGTTACAGTTCTTTACTTCTGGCTCCAGAGCTCTTTAACTTATCTCATGTTACTCTAGTAACTCTGGGGGAGGGGTGGACAGAAGTGGAGGCGGAAGGAAATGAGGAAGGCTCTCTGCAGTGCTCTGGGAAAACAGAATACAGCAAGCAGGGCAGCAAGCAGAAGGCCCTGAAAGGGAAGCAGGTTCAGAAGATGGTGTAGTTGAGTGGAGTAAGAAAGCAGAAATGAATGAATGGATGGTCCAAAGGAATGCCCTGAACAATAATGTGGTTCACTGGAGCACAAAATAAGAGGCCTTTGGCCACACTGTGAAACACCCTGGTAGACCAGCTGCTGTATTCTTTAAAGGATGAGAGATGCATGGCCAGACCTACAGGAATGTGGTGAAAACCTGCGAGTCTCATCTTACTGGCGTCATAAGTAGGAGTATATGAGGCCCTGACACAGGCCTCTGGTCAGCACCATCCTGGATCCTGGAAAATGCTCAGGAAATGTCAGTGTTCGCCAGGAGCAAACAGATGTCCAGATAGCATAGTCTTTATCTATAATGAGAGCAGAGCTGACATTCATAAAGTAGATAGCTGGTGCCCAGGAGCCTGTGAAGAGTAAACAAACTATAAAGCTTCTTTATCCCTTCGGTTCAGTTCAGTTGCTCAGTCGTGCCGACTCTTTGCAACCCATGGACTGCAGCACACCAGGTTTCCCTGTCCATCACTAACTCTGGGAGCTTACTCAAACTCATGTCCATAGAGTTGGTGATGCCATCCAACGATTTCATCCTCTGTCGTCCCCTTCTCCTCCTGCCTTTGATCTTTTCCAGCATCAGGGTCTTTTCCAATGAGTCAGTTCTTTGCATCAGGTGGTCAAAGTATTGGGAGTTTCAGCTTCAGCATCAGTCCTTCCAATGAATATTCAGGACTGATTTCCTGGTTGTATGGACTAGTTGCATCTCCTTGCTGTCCAAGGGACTCTCAAGAGTCTTCTCCAACACCACAGTTCAAAAGCATCAATTCTTGAGCACTCAGTTTTCTTTATAGTCCAACTCTCACATCCATACATGACTATTGGAAAAACCATGGCTTTTTAGTTAATAAAGTCTCTCACTGTTTTCATTGTTTCCTCATATATTTGCCATGAAGTGATGGGACTGGATGCCATGGTCTTAGTTTTCTGAATGTTGAGTTTTAAGCCAACTTTTTCACTCTCCTCTTTCACTTTCATCAAGAGGTTCTTTATCCCTACACTGAGGATAACAGGTAAGACTGTTTTGGCAAACAACACAAATGGGGTTAGCCCAAAACTGCAGTTAGTAGGTCCCACAGCTTAAAAACATTCACTTTTTTGTATATAAGCTGCAGGAGCAGTTTGATTCAGAGGTTGTCACCAAGAATGTCAGCCTTGTTGCCCCCTTTTCTTTGTCCTCCTTCCTGTGGTCACTTCATCCTCAAGCTAGAACTCCTCATGGTAGCAGCTCCAGGCTCACATGCTTCCTCCACCCACCCATCCATCCATCCAGTGGATGACTCTTCTGGTAGCTTCTGTTCAATGGTGGGAAAGGAGTACAACAAGGCTGTATATTGTCACCCTGCTTATTTAACTCACATGCAGAGCACATCATGCGAAATGCCGGGCTGGAGGAAGCACAAGCTGGAATCAAGGTTGCTGGGAGAAATATCAATAACCTCAGATATACAGATGACACCACTCTTATGGCAGAAAGCAAAGAGGAACTAAAGAGCCTCTTAATGAAAGTGAAAGAGGAGAATGAAAAAGCTAGCTTAAAACTCAACATTCAAAAAACTAAGATCATGGCATCCAGTCCCAACACTTTATGGCAAATAGATGGGGAAACAATGCAAATAGTGAGACTTTATTT